GAGGCAGGAGGATCAAGAGTTTGAGGCCAGTCTCACCAATTTAACAAGACTCCTGTCTCTAAGTAACTTTTTTCAGTGGCTAAGTATGTAGCTGAGTGGTGGTAGCAATGCTTGCCTAGCATGCATGAGGTCTTGAGTTCAAGCTCCTATACAAAAAAAAAAAAAAAAAAATCTAGCACATACCAATACCACGTCCTCAAATATTAGGGACATGTGTTACTAAAAATCATACTACATCTCTTTCTATTCCAAACACAAGTGTGGTAGCCAAAACCCAGAGAGAATGCATGAAGAATTCCCAGGGGTAACAAAGTTCACAGCCAGAATTTTGGGTATCTATCATTGAATAATGTCACTCTCCCCCACCCCACCTCAGTTCTTGGGATTGAACTCAAGACCCTGTGCATGCTAGGTAAGTGTGCTACCACTGATCTAAATACGCCCCTCAACTTTTTTTTTTTTTTTTTTGAGACAGGCTCAATAAGTTGCTGAGGTTGGCTTCAAGCTTGCCACCCTCTTGACTGAGCCTCACAAATAGCTGAGGTTACAGTTGTGCGACAACTGTGCCTGGCACAAGTGTGTGCTTCTATTTGAGCATGTTCATTGCTTGGGAAGCATTTATAGAATTCTGTTAGTTTTTTTTTTTTTTTCTTTTATTTGTCTTTCAGTATTTGTTGAAGGTTAAGCATTTCCAATTTAAGGCTACATGGAAATGGCACTTAGCTAAAATAATGTCACTCTTATGGTGCTTATTTTTTAGTCATTATTAGGCCCACCTTCAAGAAAATGGTGCTTGGGGATGTTTTGTTGTCCTGAGAGATTTTTCTTCCCTTTGTCACAAAAGACATTCTTTCTATGAAGTTTAAGGAATTTGCTCCAGCCTAAGCAATTAAAGAGATACCACCCACGTATACGCTTGTGTCAAAGCAACTCCTTGAGTGTAGCTTTGGCAGCTCAAGTGCCCAGGAGCCACTTGGATGAGGCTGGACTGAGGACCTTGTTGGACAGGGACAAGGAGAGGTCAGGTCTCCTGTCCACCCTGCCTCTTCCGCACAGCTGCTTGGAATCCAAATGTCCGTACCTTTTTATGTTAATGGCTTGGCTCAAATACCTCAGAGTAATCACCGCTTGAGTTGGCAGGCCTCCCTGAGAACACAGGAAAGGGGAGCACAGTGGCTCCAAGGACAAGAATCAAGCCTCTAACATACAGGATGCCTGTGGAGTGGGCTGCTCGGCTCAGAGTCATGGTGGATTATTTTCTGTAGTTTTCCTGTGGCCCCTTGTTCTTTGAACTTTTGTTATTGTAGATAACCCACAGAATCCCTGGGACTCCTAGTTTGGGGAAAGTCCCTGAGGGGTTCATAAAGGGGTTTAAACAGTGGATCAGCCTGGTCCATGTGGCTGCAAAGTTAATCCTCTAGGGTCCATCATACCTCAGGATCCCCTCCGACCCTTCCCTTCCAGGTTGCTATTTTGAACTTCATCACTTCAATGTCACTTTTTCCACGTCATTATCTTGGTTGTTTTTAGTTTCCTTGCTGCTTTGACATGTGCCTGCCTGCCCAGCAGTGTGGCATGTCTGCATGTCAGTGAACACTTCAGAGCAGTCAGCTTAGAGTTATATTAATTCATGTGTCTGACAGGTCCTACTGAGGGTGCCAGTGAGCTGGGGACCTAGGAGGGTCTCAAGGTCATGGGGCTGAGCCTGACGCAAGAGCAAAAGCCTTGGGCCAGAAGGAAGGGGTTCCGGGTCCTGTGGCCACTGAGTCTGACCAACAATAAGTCACTTTCCTGCACTAATCCATACTCTCTTTCCCTGTAAAGATAAGGGGTTAGATAAAATGACTCCAAAGACTGAGGTCTAAAGTTCTGAATCTGTAGGCTGTGCCCTGCAGAAAGTGACAATCCATGGGAAAAGAGAAAATAGGCCCACAACTCACCCCCATAGTAGGTGACAGACAACAAGCTCATAAGGGCTCCCTGATGTAAATACTCCTTATCCTGCAAATTCCTTTGCAGTAAGATCATACCAACTGTTCACCAACATAGCTAAGGATATGTATTTCATAAGACCCTCACTGGCATTCAGTATTATGTTTTTTTAAAAAAAAGTTAATATTCTATGTCTTTAATTTGTATTATTTTGATAATGAAATTGAACAGTGAATTTTGACTTTTTATTACTTTTGGGAGAAAGTATCACTAAACAAATTAATAACCTAAGCAAGTTTTATAGTGCAGTGATTCCTCCTGGTTCTAGTTCTTCCTCTGTATCTGGGACCCAGAGACTGAATAATTCGCCAAGGTCACCGTTGAGGGGGCCCCTTGTACTTCGCATTGTTTCATATTTGCAGCTTGCTTTAAAAATAAGTTGACATTAAAGTTGTCTGGCAGGCTAGCTACTTAGGAAACTCTAGCTTTTATTGTCGCATAAACTTGAAAGTAGGAAACACCTGCTCTTCTTTAAATAATTTTATAATTGAGGTTTTTCCTCTGAAACTCTTGTTATTCAAAATTAATAGAATTTGCTGTGCTCTTATCTAAGTGAAACTTCAGAAGATAATTCAGTAACTTCTCCACAGTGGTCATCAACTTAAATACACTTTACACATGAGTTGTCCAACTGGGGACCCACTGCTTACTACACCATGCACATGCCCTCTCATTCCTGCCCAAGGCCCATTTTTCTTTCCCGGGTCTGGAACCTGAAGGACTTCCTCCTGCCCATATCTGGGGAAGGTGCAGAGGAGGAGCCGTATGGCAGCAAGTCACTCAGGGTGAGTCTCAACCCTGTGTCCTTATCCCAGAAGCTGATGGTACACCTCTTGTCTGGTTGTCTGTTTTACTGTATGTGTGATCTTTTGTAGGCTGGCTGGTCCAGCCACCTTCTGCTGTTAACACTGAGCCTATGGAACTGGGCCTATTAGGTGTCAAACCAACCCTTGGACATGACCCTTTTGTGAGTTGGGAACTGTGTGCCTCAGGGAGCTCAGCACTGGCTCCCTTCCTCAGTTTCTTCCTAGGGCCTCAGGGCCTACCCTCATCCCAGCCACAGGGCATAGAATTTAAACTGGACATTGCAGGGTATGCAATGAGATTTTGAATTCTAGCTTTACTGCCAAATGACTTCAAACTTGAGATCCCAGAATGGCTGTGAGCCTGAATTCCATATTCATCTGGGCATTTGAAATCCACATGCTCTGGAGACACTTTGAATGCTGCAGTTTCACAGACTGCGAGACATTCTCCCAGTCACTTGTACCAATGCTCCTACGATTTGTGTGTAATTTTTAAAGAATTTATCAATGAGGACATTTCTGCTCCTGAGGATATTTATTGGGATCTTAGATGCACTAAGGTTTTCATTGAAAGAGTTTTGAAAAACAGTATTAAATTTTATATGAACATGCTTTGAAACAATAGCACATTCTTAATCCAACTTCTCTCTAGAGAGGATGGGGAGAACTGGCCTGCATCATCACGGAGGCCAGAGAACTGCACGGGGGGACAGTTTGGAGAGCCCTTTTCCCTTAATTAGAGAAAATAGAGGAAGCCTTATACTCAGTGGCATACCCTGGGTGAGGGTCTTGAATGTCCCTTGTGCTCATCTCTGAGCAAGCCACTCACTCAAGGCCAAGTTTAAACCCATCTGGAGAACTGGGCACAGTGGCATAAACCTGTAGTCCTACCTACTCAGGAGACCAAGTTGGGAGGATTACCTAAGACCAGGAGTTTAAGGCCAGCCTGGGCAACATAGCAAGATCCTTCTCAAAACAAAGCAAAAACAAAAAAGAGAGCTCAAATTCAGAAGTCAAACTGCCTGCATTCAATTTCCTCTCAAACATTTCTTGTGTGAACTTAGGCAAGTTACTTAGCCTCTGATGCCTCAATGTTCCCACCTTCAAAATGAGGATAGTGTTATCACCCACCTGAGAATGTTGTAAAGACTAAGTCATAGTGCAAAGAGAAGGCTTTGTGCCTTCTTAGTAAACACCAGGTGACTTTTTTCCATAATTACTCTTGATTTAGGGAACACTTTGAAATGATGTATCTATTCTAGGGCTCCACAACTTCACAGAAATGTAGATACTTTGGGCAAAGTTAAAACTAGCATCACACCAATTAAAGGTTTATTGCCTACTAAGATTGCTAATCAATTTCTATTTTCTTTACATAGAAAACAGTTTAAAGGGTAGCTTCATTTCTCATTCTTATAAAGATGGTAAAATTGTGTTTGATATTTGATATTTGGTTCTTTCCTTCTATCCCTGGACCAATCAAGACTTTTAAAAACAAATAGTTTAGAACCAAATTGTTTGTTTCAGTGGGGAGCTGCAGAAAGTCATGCAGGTTTTCTTCCTTGAACCCTTCCTTCCCTAGGTGAATGATCATCCATCTCTCTGGCTGGGCTGGGACAGGACTCTGTCCCCTTTATTTATTTTCATTGTTTTGTGGTGCTGGGGATCAAACACAGGATCTCAAATATACCAGACAAGCACTGTACCATGAGCCCCATTCCTCAGGCCCCCGTCACCCAAATGCCTTGTGGAGCCCACAGACAGACGAGTGCAGTAACATGGTGAGCACCATGATGACTGCAGGCACAGGATGCCTGGGGACCACAGAGAAGCTGTGCCTGCTTGCAGCTCAGTTGAAGTGAGCCTGAGCAGGAGCCTGAGCACAGGAGCCATGGGGCAGGCACTTCTCTTGGTGGCTTCTGCTGCATCAGTGGAATCACAAACAAGAATTGCCGTGCTGAGCAGGAACACCTTCAGAAGGCCTAATTAAGTCCACAAGAAGTCTGACTCTTTCACCAGGTTCCTCATAATGGTGGAAAAAAATACTTCAAAAAAATTTCAAGCTTTAAGGGCCGATTTGTCTCCTTTTCTTGAAGTTAATATTTTCAAATGATTATGTAAAACATTGGTAACCCCAGGCAGCTTTCTGACCTCTCATTTTGTGACAACTGCTCTGCTTTCTTTTCCTTTCCCTTTTCCCAGATACCTACTGGAGCAGGATTTCCCAGGCATGAGGATTGGTCCAGAGCCCACCACCGATTCCTTCATCGCTGTGATGTATGGGGAGACTGAGGGCAGTACCCCTGGGAATGCATTAGTCGTGGACCCCAAAAAGCCATTTCGGAAGCTTAGTCGCTTTGGAAATGCCTTCCTGAATCGGTAAGGACTAGCAAACTGTCATTTTTGGTCAAGATATTTAAACTTTTTTTATTGCCAATTGCATGTAAAGATTCAAAAATAGAACAACAGTTTCTAGAAGAAAAAAGTCATAGAGAATATGCTAGTTGTGTTCAAATATCTGTTAGTCTACCAGAGGACATCAATATTTATACCTGTTCTGGGTGGCTTCATTGACCAGAGCTAAGTCCCAAGACTGGACATTTATAAGACTTCACAGAACAATTTCTAATAAATTGAAATGGATCAGGTTGCCCTGTCTCTAGTCATGTTAAGTGGTGGCTGAATGCCACGAAGTGCCCTGGCTTCCTGCAGTCAGGGGGCTTATCCCAGTGGACACCTAAGTTTCTTCTGACGTTTGGATTTAGTCTGCTGACTCAGGATAGGTCACCTCACCTCCCTGGCTATTCCTTTTGTTTTGGTTATGGTACTTTGAGCTGCTTCCTTGTTCTATGGAGGGCAGGGGAAATAGAGTAAAATCAAAAAACAATAATTTTATTATTTTATAGATACAAAGTTGTGGGATTAGGGCACAACTTTGTGAGGTTGTAGCTCAGTGGTATGAGTGCTTCCCTCACATGTGGAAAGCACTGAATTCCATCCTCAGCACCACATAAAAATAAAATATTGTGTCCATCTACAACTAAAAAAAATATTTTTAAAAAAAGTTGTGGGATTAGTTCCATCTTAATTAGAGATGTGTTTTATTTGTACCATCCCCATAATCTTTCAGCAGAGTTCCCAGTGAAGTCAGTGGGTGTTGGCACTGTGTAGGGAGAGCGACCCAGCCTCATCTGCAGCTCTGCCTTAGCACACATTCTGCTGTTATGACTTTCCCTACCTGTTTGCTACTCCTAGCCTGCCTTTCTTTTTTTTGTGCCCCCCACTGACTGTTTCTGATTTTGTTTTTATTTAGTTTTCATATATAAGAGAAAACTTGAGATACTTGTCTTTCTGTGTCTGGTTTATTTTGGTTAACATGATGTCTTCCGTTCCGTCCATTTTGCTACACATGACAGAATTTTATTCTTCTTTATGACAAAATAATACACATATATGTGTGTGTATATAAACATATATGTATATTTTTTGATAGGCAGCTGAACTGATTCCATATATTAGCTATTGTGAAGAGTGCTGCAATAAACATGGGCATTCAGGATCTCTTGTTGTATGCTGACTTCATTTCCTTTGTTTGAATCTGTACCCAGGAGTGATGTAGCTGGAACATATGGTAGATCTACTTTTAGTTTTTTTAGAAACTTCCATATGGTATTCCATAATGGCTGTATCAGTTTACCTTTCCACCAGCAGTGTATAACAGTTCCTTTTTCTCCCACATCCTTGCCAGCATTTGGTGGTTATTGTTGTTTGTTTGCTTGTTTGTTCTTTGTTCTGGGTAATAGTCACCTAACTGGAGTGAGATGGTTCTCATTGTTTTGATTCTTATTACCTTATTGGCTAATAATGTTGAGCATTTTTTCACACAGTTATTGGCCATTTGTGTTTCTTCTTTTGAGAAATGTCTATTCAGACCATAAAAATTTTTAACTGGATTACTTGTTTTTTTGTTGTTAAGTTTTTGTTTGGGTTTTGTGTGTGCATGTTTTTGTTTTGTTTTGGTACTAGGGATTTAATCCAGGAAATCTTAACCTCTAAGTCACATTGCCAATTCTTTTTAATTTTTGAGACAGGGTCTCCCTAAGTTGCTTAGGGCCTCACTAAAGCTGGCTTTGAACTTGAGATTCTCCTGCTTCAGCCTCCTTAGTTCCTGGGATTACAGACATGTGCCACCAGCTGTTAAGTTTTTAGAGTTCTTTGTATATTCTGGGTATTGAACCTCTGTCAGATGAATAGCTGGCAAATAGTTTTTCACATTCTGTAGGTTGTCTCTTCACTTGGTTTGATTGTTTCCTTTGCTGTACAGATGCTTTTAGTTTGAAGTAATCCTGCTTATCAGTTTTTGCTTTTGTTTCCTGTGCTTTTGGGGTCCTATCCAAGAAATCATGTTCATGGGTGGAAAGAATTGATATTATTAAAATGTCCATACTTTCTTTGTTTTTAAAACCCCTTTTCTTCTTCCTTATCAGCCTCCACCTGCCTCTCCATTTTTTTCTTTTGCATGTCTAGCTTTAGAGATTGGGGGAACACATTAGAGATTGAGGGAACACGTCAGTCATAGGAAGAGGAAAGCTGGAAGAGCAATTCTAGCCTGTTTCGGGAGAGGAAGTAGGATTGGCTCTGACAGACTGACAGACAGCAGCTTGAGCTGCACTTCTCCTTTCTAGATATTTCTAAAAATAGGATCGGATCCTCCCTGCTGACTGCTGCCCTCCCAAAGGCTGAGGTGCCTCCTTGCACAACTCCAGGGGGCACCATTCACATGGATGCTGGAATAAACATGTGCCTAACACTATGCAGCAGCGCTGCTGAGTGCAGCCATGGCAGCCTCCACAGGTGCCTTCTGTGAAAAAGTTTTCACAGAAAACAGATGCACTCTAGGCATCTAGATGCTCTCTGTTGCAAATCAAAGAAAACTTCCAAGCAGCAGCAAGGGAACTTGGCAGTGGGATGAGCAGGAGCCTACGATGACGTGGATGGAGTCATGGAGAAGTTCCATCTTATTACTAACAGTGACTTGCAGAACACTGTCCAGATGACTTCCCCGCTGCCACTCAGGATTCTCTTCTCCAAGAGGAGCTTACCCTTTAACTCCAGAGCAACTATGTGGCAGCTTCTTCTTGTGAGAGAAGCAGAGGCTGAGCCCAAGGTGGGAGAGCCTCAGAGTATCAACTCCATGAATCTCCTGGGTTGTGTGCAATAGCATTGAGGGGAAGTAGTACAGGAAGCACCCCCATCAGGGCATCCCTGAGTGCTGCACAGGGCGCAGGCAACAGCTCAGACTTCCTGTCCCAGGACTGGCCCTGGGAGGTTCCGGTGGCTCCGGAAAGTACAAGGCACAAGATCCATCCCCCTGAAAGACTGCTCTGGAATATTAAGGTTTCATTACCACGGCCCTTTGTCTTGTACTTTTTTGCCTGGCAAAGGTTTAAAAAAGAAATAAGCTGCCACTTTTTTCAAATTCTCATTTTATGTATTCACAAAGGCAAAAGCAGGAAAAGTAGTTATTGGCCTGTCTGACTTGGGCAAATGATTTACTTTCCTAATAAAAACTGTGTGTTTTTCAAATCTCAAACACACAGCAGATAAGTATGGAAGTATTCAGGAAGGATTTTGAATGGCAATGTTATCTCAGAATTTAAAACTTGCTGGAAATAATTCATGCATTATATAATCAACTATTAATTGAGTTTAGAATAATATGCAAAATAAGAGGAAATAATTATATGATATTTACCATGTGTCAGGTACTGTTCCAAACTTTACTTGTATATTAAACACAGAAAGCTGAAGTGTTTTGGCTTTAAATTCTCATAAAAATCCTTTGGCATGGCTTCTACCATTATACCCAAGATACAGAAGAGGAATTGAGGCATAGAGGAGTTAATTTAATTTCCATTGGGTCACTCCCCAATAAGTAGCAGTGTTGGGACTGGATCCCAGGCCATCTGTCCAGAGAATCTCTCCATAGATAATACTGAGCTGCCCAATGGAATGGCATTAGGATTGAGTCCTTGCCTACTGCCCCTGTTTAACTTCAGGGCTATCCCCAAAATTGCCTTCCAGCAGAGATAGTAGAGATGATAATGATTGTTCCCCAAGGTGTAGTTCACATAGTTTCATCTACATAATGCTTGAGGGGTTGATAGACAACACAATGTCCAGTTCATAAGTAAGAAAACTAGAAGCAGAAAAAAAATGGTTTATTCAAGAAGAGGCTATCAAAAACAGGCAGAATCAGGACTAGAATTCAGGTTTCCCCTTCCTGTTTACCACCCTGTGCCTAGCTAAGCACTGACAAAGGCTTATGTGTAAGGGACGTGCCTCATGGAAATTCACAGCACATGTTAAAGCAGACAGCCTGATCAAGCAGTGACGGTATCTGCGTGACATTACTGCTTCACAAAAGCTCTTATTTAAGAAAGAGTGCCAGTTGGCACAGGACGCTCAATCACACTTACATGACTGTAGCTTTGTTATGCTCGAATTCGGGACCCCTAAAAGACCACCAGAGACCAAGATCAATGTAAACAGCAAAGAGGTGTTTATTGCGAGCTAGCTCTGTCCTCCGCACGCACACATAGCAACTGGTGACGCTGAGAGGCCCCGAGCCCAGGGTTTGCAGCAGTTTTATACACTCTTTGGGGAAGGCAGGGACTTCACAAACATCATAGCATCTCTTAGCTAATCATCACACACCGCGGGAAAATCAAATAACAACTCTAAAACATGATTAGCACATTCACTGGCGGGAACAAATTGGGTAGGGGTGATTGGTTACTACAAGAGGGGGATTTATTTGAACTGATTGGTTTAAGCCAAGATGGGTGTACGTGCTGAACTGAATGGTTTCCCAAAGTTATCAACCACCATAAACTACTGGGAGGGTCATCTGGCATCCCAGGTATTTCCCTGTCTCATGCTGATTGGTGGCTTCTAGGGGGCTGCTATGGATCCCCACCTAGCCTGACTGAGTCAGGGACACCTGGTGCAGCAGATCTCTCCTGTTATTTGTAGATAAACAACTTAGCAGGGTGGGAATGTGCCTTGGAGTGCTCTGTGGGTCTTTCCAAGGACAAAGGTGATGTCCCTTCCTTGGACAGGATTTGCTCTGAGGTAGAGGCTGGTTTTTCAGCATCCTTCTGGGAACAGTAGAAGAGTCAAGTATTTCACAAGTTTTTTTAGAACCAGGTGATGCTTGGAACACCACCACCCAGCATTAAGCAAATCCAGTGGAGCCTGAATCTCAGTCTCCCAGGCTGATTTTTGAAGAGGCTAGCAGAGGTCTGTGGTGCATTTCTGAGAAATGAAGATGAATTCCTGAAAAGACAGGTGCAAATTATAGAATTGTTCACACTTGA